GCCCCGGTCCCCGTCGGCCGTGGCCTGATCATGGAGACCGAGTCCAAATACAATGCTACAACATAAAAGCAGTAGTTGTGCCCAGAGGCTAATGAAATAATTTGCGGCGCATTTTAGTTTACAACTTTGTAATTAATTAGTAAAGCGAACTGACAGACGGCTAGCTGTGGCAGCCAGCGACAGAATTTGCAATTCCAACATTTGGTAAAATGGCTACTTGGCTACTATATATATATATATATATATATGTATATATGGATGTATGCTTGTACATATGTATGCGCATTTGCATTAGAGAAGTCGATATTTGATAGCACGCAGCATGGGGAAGCGATCGCCGGTGCACTGACCTCGGAAATCATCCAGAGTCAAGTCGAACAGTGCAATGCCACCGAGATTCTTGGCGCGCACATATTGCGCCTTGCTGGAGGCGGTTTCCGGATCGTCATAGCTAACCCACAGTCCATAGATGCCATTCTCATCGGCGGCGCGATAGGCGTAGCTGCCATAACGCTTTGTGGGGTCAGAGACGCGTTTGATGGGCGCCGCGTGGCCTTTGGCATTAACATTGCTCGGATTTGGCAGCAGTGCACATATCTCGGCCCAGCTGAGGAGTCCCTCGGTCTTGGTTTGCGGCCCCGCATGTGCTGGCCCATCAGCAATCTGCACCGGCTGTCCGCTGCTGCCAGAGTCAATCGTTAGCTTCCAGGCACGTCCGTAACTGGCAATGCCGATATTCAGTTTGCTCGCAGGCACGCGTTGCAGCAGCCAATGCTCCATTTGAAAGTTGACATTGTAATGGGGCAGGCGATTCTGTCCGAATGCCTCGTAGAGTGGAGCAGAGTAGTCCGCTTCCTCTGGGTTGCGGGCGGGCGTCAGAAAGTCGAATGTGGCGAGGTTGATGAAGTCAACATTTTGAGCGATGACAGGTGCATCGAAGTACCCTGTAGATCGAGAGTAGATGTGATGAGTGGAGAAGTTAAGCACACACTTGGACAGACTTACAGCTGGAGTTGACATTGGGTAGAACGGTAAGACTTAGCAGCAAATCGTTCGCTTTAAATGCGGAGTTCAGACCCATAACCAGGCTTGTCATCTGTGTCTTATGGGTCTCAGCATCGGGGTCGACTATGAAATCGCCGGTGAAGAATTTCTTAAAGCTTTTCCATACCATGCCGGCTTCTGAGTGAACCTTCCGTGGCTTGTTGCGTGGCAGCTGGAAAGCGAGATCCAGACCATCAAAATTGAAGCGTCGTATGATATCTTTAGCCGAGTTGATGAAACGTTCTTGGGCCTGAGTGCCAGCCTCTAGCAGCTTAACATATTTATCATCTTGCTCCAAATCACGGTCACCTCCTACACTTAACAGAAATTTAATATATGGATATTTCTCTTTAAGCGCTGTTATTTGAGCAAAGTGACGGCGATCAAAATCGAGCGGCTGATTTAGACTTTTCATCTCATAGGTGTCCGGGTTGATGCCAGCGTAGCCATATATCACGTGAGTGCAAAACTGCAGTGCTAGCTCCAAGTCCGTAAAAGTGAATTGAGCGAGACCTAACAGAGAGCGGACAGGCAGAGGGAGAAAAATTGAACCAAAAAAAGTGTTATGTGGAGAGCAATATACAATACAAAAATTTATGTGTATGTGTGTGTGTGTGTGTGTGGTTGAGTGTGTATACATACATACCTTGTCGCTCATAACCTGCCGAGTCGTAGTAACAAATCAGACGCGGAGCAGCTGCTGTGTGCGACGGCAGCTCTGAGAGCAGCACAGTCAACGTTACGCCGAGCAACAGAGAGCGCATTGTATCAGAGTTGGAGAGAGAAGATCACAATGAAATACGTCCGTACGAAACGAGACACAAATCGCAACTAAATTCAAATGACAACGGAACTCGAATTTAAATGAGCTTTGCCGTAGACCGACTGGGTCGAACCATAACCTTCACATATATGTATGTATGTATACTATCAACAGATTTCTCTGGAATTCTTTGTTTGGTGTGCACTGCAATTTTAAGTATATTTAGGGCGTTGAGTTCAATCCCGCTGTTCGTAGCGCACCTAGCGTTTTCTAAGAATTACGATTGATTTTTAGATTTACTAGAAGATTTTGTGAGATGACACGCTTAGCGACGGTTCAAGACCAGTTCGATCCTATATTTGTTTCATACATACATAGTTCGGAAGGAAGGTGAATATTCAATATTGCCGAAAAGATTGCGTTCATATGGACAGACGGACAGACGGACGGACATGCACAACACAAATATACTCATTTCACTTTCGTGAACGAGTACAATAAGATATAATAAGCAGCTTCACGATAAGAGCCAACAACAATTTTGTTTATTGTTTAAATTTATAAAAATATTTAGTTAGTGAGTCTTAAATGAAGCGAAAACAAGAAGAAATTTATAAGCGAAGAGTATTCATCATCTGTTTATTATTTGATAATGCTTTTATATGTATATGTATGTATGTATAGTACAATTTACAAGCGGTACTTAATGGAGCGTAATATTGGGTATCTGTCATTGGTGCACTGTCCCCGGAAATCATCGTAGCTTAGGTCGAATAGAGCTATGCCGCCCAAATTATTGGCACGGACATAGGCCGCTTTGTTAGATGCTACTTCGGGGTCGTCGTAACTTATCCAGAGACCCTCAGTTACGGCTCCGTCAACAGCGCGATAGGCGTAGATACCATAACGCTTAGATGGATCACCTACACGTCGCAATGGCGAATCGTTTCCCTTGAGATATTGATTTTGTGGATTGGGGAGCTTGGCGCAGATCTCTGGGAAACTGAGCAGCCCAGGCTTCTGTGATTGCAAGCCTTCCGGGGCAGCTCCCTCGGTGTGTGGCACCACAGGTGTACCTTCCAGGCCAGATTCGCTAGTCAGTTTCCAGGCATTTCCATAGCTAGCAACACCCAAATTGAGTTTGCTAGCGGGGAATCCTTGCTGTAGCCAATATTTGACTTGAAAGTCGGCATTGTAATGTGGGAGACGATTCTGGCCCGGCAGCTCGTATAGTGGAGCTGTATAATCCGCTTCTTCGGGGTTACGGGCGGGTGTTAGAAAATCAAAGGCAGCCAAATTGACGAAATCGGCAAGTCCGTTCAATGCAGGTATATCAAAGTACCCTGTAAAATATCGAATGTTCAAGCAACTTCACATTTGGCAAATTAACAAATGACTTTGAGTACTCACACGTCGAGTTGACGTTGGGAAGCACCGTCAAACTGAGCAAGAATCCATCGTTACGTAGGGAGTTCTTCACATCGCGCACGAAAGCCGTGAACTGCTCCTTGTGCAGGGCCGCATTTTCGTCAACTATGAAGTCGCCAGTGAAGAGTTTCTTGAAACTCTTCCAGACCGTACCCAGCTCGCCGTGCACCTTTCGGGGCTTGTTACGTGGAAACTGATAAGCCAGATCTAGGCCATCGAAGCCATAGTTCTTAACCAACGAGTAGGCCGATTGGATAAAGGCTATCTGTCGCAGCTTTTCTCCTTCGAGAAGCTCAATGTATTTGTTTGGATGTTCCGGATCGATGTCACGATCGCCGCCCACGCTGAGTAGAACTTTAAGGTGTGGATATTTTCGCTTGAAAGCTGTTACTTCCGAAAATTGATGTTTATAGATGTCCAAGTTTTCATTCAAGCTGTATGCTTGGTAGTTGTCGCCACGAATGCCCAGATAACCGTAAACCAAGTGCGAACAGAACTGCAAGGCTATCTCCAGATCTGGATTCAACAGTTTGCCCAAACCTACAACGATAATTGGACGTATTAGGAAATAAATAAGAATGAAAAAATATGAAATATCGTAGAGCTTAAGTTTATTGTATAAATGGGTGTTAAGGAGGCGTGGCCGATAACACCGAATATTGGCTATCACTATCGATCAATCGACATGGGACTTAGGGCATTTTTCAAGCGGGCACAGCCACCTACATCCAACACTCTGACTTGTTTATGTATGTGGAGTCACGTTTACACATTGTGTGACTATTGAAGCTTGCTTGCAATGTTTAAGGTGCACAGCAAGCAAACTTGTACGTATTTTTTCCATATTTTAATTTTGTTATTATTTCAATATATCTTTGTTTAAATATTGTATAACAAATATGAACTGACGCTTAAGTATATCGAATTTATTATTTCTTTTATTATACAATACTCGCCTCAGTTCTCAGTAATCGTAAAATTGTATCGTAAAAACCTGAAAGCTCCAGTAATAGCTTGAAATCTGTATACAGATCGAGTGATAATCGGGTATTCCCTATTACTTAATTCGTAATCAGGTGCAAATTAGTTTACATAAGACACATTGAAAACAGTATTAGTGTAAAATACAAATGAACTATTACAGAGCCAATAACTGGAATATAACGAAGACAAAAACAAATTTTCTATGTATGCTAAATTTAAAAAAAAATGATATAAAGTAAAGTACACACAGATATTTAGTTTAAGAGCTTATTTGATTTGAACTATTTAAGTAAAAACGACATTTGCCAGAAAAACAATACAAATTTTCCATTGTCCACCATATGTGGGATAACTGTCCACTGTGGACTCAATTAAGAGCAAGCGAGCGACAACAACAAGCTCGTTGAATTCAAACTTGGAGATGTTCATTATTCACTTAAAGTGTAAAACAGTTGTCCAAGAGAAAACAAAATGTGTTGAACAAAATAAATAAACATGGTTATATGATATGTGGGACTTATATAAAATTGATTTAAAAGGAAATTCAGCCCATTCGTTCACTCTGAAAAATAAAATAATATTTGAAAGAGCTTTCATAAATATTTTCAACGATTGTTTTTCAACTGCGGCTTGGCTTTTCACGCTTTTCAGCTTTCATGAATCTACTCTCGTTTTATTATTTGAATTTCGTTCCACTGTTCATAACTGCGTCACAATGTTAGTCACTTGTTGGGTCTCCAACGGAGAATTGTTGCTGGGGCAGTTGTCGCGTTGGTCTCGCGGCGAGTTGTACGCTCAGCTTTTGATTGCGAGCGCGTGGATTTAGTGTAAGAAGCGTACATAGGCTGTTGTGGTGTTTTGTATAACTGTCATGATTGGATTACAATTCTATATATATTATTGTCGGTAAGTTTGTCGCCCGTCAACCTCGTTCTCAATTGTTTGCCTTTAAATATTTTCCAAAACTATATTTTATGTTGTACGCTTACGTTTTATATTAGCGAGAGAGCGTATTTGTGAGCTCAGCTCTCTGCCGCTCTCGCGACTCAGCTGATAAGCCATTGACCTCTGGACTCAACCAACTGTCAGACTCTCGATATGTTTACAGTCTAGCTTGTTAATTAAGTAAAAAAAATACCCTTCGTATTATATACTAATATGCTACATTCGAATATATTATATGTAAAGTGGTGGTGTTATGCCTCTGAAATAATCTTTATCGTAAGCGAAGCTGGAAGCGTGCTTGCTCCCGACACACCCTGTATTCTCATTTGAGCAGTTTGTGTGGGCTTATCAGCATTACTGAACGCAATCAGCAGTGTTTTTCATTATATTTTTATATATTATATATACATACATTATAATTAAAATTAAAAAAGTATTGAAAGACAATATAAACTGAAATAAAAATAATGAATATAAATATATATGTGTACCTATATAACAAATTTTTCAAAGAATTTTAGAGTAGAGCTATGGCAACTACTTATTTCAAATTTTATATTATTTATATTTTTTATTTGTGTATAAACGAAATACTTCCGAGAACTCCTTCTCGTGTGTTAATATCCAATAAAATAAGTTAACACTTCCATTCATATTATAAATTATTTGTGGTTTGGATTTGAAGTCAAGCAGCATGACAATATTATTCTTCAATATTGACATTGAAATGGAAATTTTGTTGGCCATTAAATATAAATTGTTTTGTTAAACTGTAGCCTTACCCTCGCGCGTATAACTGGATGAATCATAATAGCATACTAGGTTCGATGCTGCCGTTGTCACAGTCACCAGGTAGCCCGTTAAAAACGAAAGTAAATATAACTGCCTCATGTTTAGCAGTGTTTAGCAAAATACGTATTAGACAATGTAGCACGACCGCAGCGATGTTTCAATGAAATCGAACTGAAACTGAAATGGAAACCGAAAACGGCGGCCGAGAAATGAAGCTGTCGACAGACGATGACGACACCAAAAGCTTCCTCCATTGAGAGAAACACACACAACATTTGTTTACTGCCAGAGCTGAGAAGTATACTGAGAGAGATAGAGAGAGAGAGAGAGAGAAAGAGAGAGAGAGAGAGAGAGAGAGGGGACAGAGTGAGAGAGAGAGAGCAAGTCGAGTCAAAAACAAGTTTTATTTTTATTATTATTTTACATATGCTCTTAGAATAGTTTAATTGCGTAATCAATGATATTGAGCCGATTCAGACGGCGAGGCCACAAGTCGAAGCATTGAATCAAGTTAGCTGATTAGAATTAAAACTACGAAATTCGTCAAGAGAAAAGCAATAATTTAGCCTAGAAAATATTTAACTGATCGAACAATCGGGAACTTCTGGCCCGTGCAAAGACCACGGAAGTCGTCGTAGCTCAGATCGAACAAGGCCACGCCGCCGAGACCCTTGTTTTTCGCGTATACGGCCTTGATGCCCGCAAAGTCGGGATCATCGTAGCTCACCCATAGGCCGTGTTCGCCCTGCTCATCGGCCGGACGTAGCGCGTAGTTTCCATATTTTTGCGTAAGATCTGTGACTTTTCGTAACGGCGCATTCGCACCTCGATAGATGGCCGTCTGGTTTTGCGGAAGCTTCGAGCAAATCTCTGGCCAACTGAGCAAGCCCTCGGTGCTGTTGATTTGCAGTCCACCATCACCCACTCCCATGGTGCATGGCACAACTGGCGCCCCACTCAGGCCCGAGTCCTTTGACAATTTCCACGCACGCCCATAGGTGGCGATGCCCAGGTTGATCTTTTGAGGCGGGCAGCGATGCTGCAGCCAGTAATTCAACTGGAAGTCAATGTTGAGATGAGGCAGCCGCTGATGCTCGTCGAGAAACATGATTGGAGCAGTATAGTCAGCTTCTTCGGGATTGCGCATGGGCGTATAGAAATCGAATGCAGCCAGATTAATGAAATCCATCAAGGGATGCAGCTTTGGCACATCAAAATACCCTGTAATATAAGAGTCTTTGTTATTGCTGTTATCTTAAATGAGGTTTGACGTTTCAACATACAAGTGGAGTTCACGTTGGGCAGCACCGTCAATGTCAACAGCAAGTTGGCATTTTTATAGGCCGATTTGATGTTTCTAGCCAGTTCAGAAAACTGATCCTTGTGCTGTGCTGCCAGTGGATCCACAACAAAATCTCCAGTAAATAGTTTCTTAAACTTTTTCCAGTAGGTGCCAATAGTTCCATGCACTTTTCTCGGCTTATTTTTCGGGAATTGAAATGCCAAATCCAGACCATCGAAACCATTTTTACGTAACAGCAGCATGCTGCTATCGATGAAGTTCTGCTGCTCGGTGCGATTCGCTTCGAGCAGTTCGAGATATTTGTTGGGATGCTGTTCGTCCACATCTCGATCTCCACCCACACTCAAGAGCACTTTCAGCTGCGGATATTTGGCTCGCAACTGAGTTATGTCCCTGAAGTGAAACATGTCCAGGTCGACATTTAAGCTGAACACCTCGTGAGTGCCTGGCTTCAGTCCAACATAGCCGTAGACCAGGTGGGAGCAGAACTGCAGCGCCAATTCCAAGCTGTGCGTATCCAGCTTAGCTAATCCCGGGCGCAAAAATGAGGTTGAGTCATAATAGCAAATGAGATTCGCACTGCTATTTGCAATGCTCAGCACGCCCAGCAGGCTGAACAATAATAATAATTTCATTTCGGACAATTATTAGCGGTACGTGTTAACTTTTTGAATGTATAATTGAAACTGTCTCAAAACGCTTTTATTTGTGTGCTAATGCTCAGTTGAGAATGGAAAGCTTATCTCAGCGCGCTGGCAGCTGACAATTGTTATGACGATGATGCCATTACCAGCGGCTTCGTATTACGAAGCATTTTCACGAGCTTATATAGAATAATAATTCATATTTGAAAAACAATTCACAGAATTCACAAAAGTAAACAAAGTATTATATTAGTTACGTCGCTGACTCAATTTTTGTGTTTGTTCTGTGAATTTGTGTGTAAGGAAATACAGTGTCTATTTCATTTATAATTCACTATAAATTACCTTATATACATATACATATACTTGACTTTAGCTTTTTGTTTTACTTTGATTAACCTCTTAAGTACTTCATTACATATGATCATCTTATGCTTGTATTTTAATGACTATATAAATATATACAGTCAAGAAATGATTCAAATATATGTTTAAGTATTTATATACATCTATATAGAATATTTACATGAGTTATTCTGACCATGTATGAAATATTAAATTACCTTTGTGAGCAATCACGTTGTCTGTCTGATAAGAATGAGATTTAAGATCTTGTACATAGTGATTCATACTATAGAATTCCTCTACAGACTTGAAGTCTTTTGTTGCATATGTATCAAATATATTGTAATCAACTTTATTATCTATATATTTAAGATAAAATCTATTTGGAGTTGAGCTCAAAAGAAATTTTCCATTAGGATTGCTGCCTGGAATAAATTCGTTCTGTAATACAATAAATACTAACCAAACTAATGCAATTTGTATGCCAGTAGAGTCCGAGACATGGAATGTGTGATTGATTTCGTTAATGAACGTATTAAAATTCTTCACAAGTAAAATTATGTATATTGAACGTATATTAAATATATCTATATGGTATATAAATATATCAGAACAAGTAATTGTTCATTATTAAGAAGACTTGCTATATAATATCTATATATTTTTCTCTTTGTTGCTGTCTATTGTTCGAGTATTTCGCTTTGCGAAGTACTTTGTCATCGTTTCGCTGATTATTGCCTAAGCTACGCGATTGCTGAGCTGCTTTTACAATAGAAGTAAGACAACCTGCTGTGCTTTAAACGTGTGTGATATAAACAAGGCAGCTGACAGTTGAGACAAATGGCGAAGCACTTAAATCAAAAATTAATTGAAGCATTAAATACCCAAAAGAAATACGTACAAACATTTGTGGGCTTACTCTTAGCCGGGTCAAAACTACAACCGTCGGTAAATGAATAGCAGTGTCGGCATGTGTGTGTGTGTGCGTGTGCGTGTGCGTGTGTGAGTGTGATTCGCATGTGTCACAACCAATTATACAAAGGACATGCGAGCATTATCTGCTAGGGGCTGCAAAAGAATGCCATCCTTGTACGTACTAGAGAGTAATCCTCACACGCTGCTTAGCGTTGACAAGAGGCGTATCACAATGCGAGAGGCGTGCTGAGTGTGCACGGAGGCGCATAGTTAATCTGAAAAGAGCCCTGATTTCGAGTGTGTGCATGTACATGGATATATGTATGTATATACATACATATCTGTATGTGTATGAATGTAGTGAGGCCCAATCGGTGTTAACATCTATGAGAATGTCTGTTATTGTTGTTTGATTAATATCAGCCAGAGCTGTGCGCAACCTATCTATACCCAGTCTGCTCTCTCAGATTAAATATTTGCTCGGCAAAATAGGTTAGCCAAATAGATGAGAAATATAATACTGGTAACATTGTCTATTATGCCTCTTGATGGCCATTGTCCAGCAACCGCAAATCTTTTATTCTCACACACACGCGACTGCATATACATAGCACTAATGGACCGCAGCTAGTGGCATATATTTACTCTTGACGTTGACTATAAGCAAATATTCAGTCCAATATGGGACTGGGCATCGGCAAATATATTGTCAGCCAAACTATAAAAGAAATCATTGCGAAATAGGCATTAAATGTGAAATCAGATACAAAGAGGACTCTCCCGGCCCTGCTGGTTCGCAAAGAAGTCTCCAATTAAAGTTGGCCGTTCATAATTAATAATTAATATGAAAAGAAGTAATTTAAAGTACACGAATTGACAACATAAAGTTGCCTGGCTGTTCTTTTCTTCAAATTCGAAGCCATTGTTTACCTCTCAGTGCTTGCCCGTCTTAGTTTGGCTTC